TACAATGCCAGAGTCAAGAGGCGTTCCTTCCGAGCTAGTGACCTTGTGCTGAGGAAGGTCATGATACTTGATTTGGGCTCCAAAAAGCTCAACCTAAATTGGGAAAGTCCTTACAAGGTCACCAAGGTAGTGGGACTTGGTACCTATGAGCTCGAAACTCTTGAGGAAGGTCCCCTGGATGTGGAACGTTGAAAACCTAAGGAGGTATTATGTTTAAAGTTCCAAGCTCTTAAGTGTAAATCATGATTAAATCTCACTAAGTATAGCAACTAACAGCTTGGCTATAAGATATTGAACCTAATCTACATGACCACCTGTTCATGTGGTTTGCTCTAATTGACCCGCTCTCAACATATCGGTTCATTATAAACAAAGCTGGACCGCTTACGTACCTAGGCTTGTAAATGATAAAGCCGGTCTACTATGTGCACCTCGACATTGTTTCATTACTAGACAACTTTCACAAATCATCTTATGACTTAGGGAAAATAAAGGTGCAAGAGAAGAACATCAACACAATGAGAAAAAGAAGATTTCATTACTTAGAAAAAAGAGCAATACACTACTATTCAAAAAAAAAAGGAAAACAAAAAGCAAACTGAGTTTAGAGGCCTAGGACATAGACGTATATACATGGGGGTCTAAGAAGAGGCAAAAAGTTCATTCTTTGCTAGGGGTAGGTCATCACTGACTTCCTCATCTCCACCCTCCTCTCCTTCCTCCTTGGAGTCAGGCTTCTCATCGCCCTTCAGCTTCCCTAAGTCGCACTCTAGGTAGATGGAACTGACGAGGCGACATATCTTGAAACCCTGGTAGAAGGCAATGGCAGTATAGTCATCCTTGGTCTGTTGGCATAGCTCAGAGGCGAGATACTCCTTGACGGCCTAGGCCTTGGCTCTATGGACATCCTCAAAGAACTCCGACCTCCACTCACGCACCTCAGTGCCTTTTTGCTTTAGCTCATTGTCAAGCTCATAAGCCTTCTTCACCTTTTCTTGTACCAGCCCAACGAGTGTAGTGTCCATCTCTAAATGACCTTGGGAGCTCTCCACCTCCTTTGTCAGGGCCTCGCATTGCTAATAACCTAACTCAGCCTAGCCCATCAGGGTGTGCATCAGAGCATTGACCTGAAAAAAGGCCTCAAGTTAGTACTTGTAAGAAGGAAACAAGAAATGTGCATGGTAAGTTGAAGTTACAGGGTACTCACAACCAGGAGGTAATGAGCCATCCAACCACTGATTTGAGCAGGTTACAATTTGCGTTGTTCATCCACATCTTCTGGGAAGATGACGGCCTTGCTTACCTCCAATGTTGTCGCTTAGTCTAGGATCAAATGCTTCTCCCTAACAATCTCTGAGGTACCGACCCCCTTGGTATTGGGGAGTGGGTGGCTGTCCTTGGCAACCCGGATGTCACCGATAGCAACACCCTCCTGTTGTTCCTCCTCCATGAGGTCGATGTGAATGGCCCTGAAAGCCACTTACCCACCCGACCCATCCTGCCTATTAGCTATGTTTTGAGGAGCATCTCAGTGAGCCACCCTCTTCCTCTTCTTATTCAATGCGTTAAGAAGCCCATTGGTGTTTACTCCTAACATGTCTCCTATACAATTAAACAAGAAGTAAGTTGAACTACCGAAGTAAACCAAAAGAAAAAAATACCTAAGTATGGTATGGTGACCTACTCGGAGGACTTAGCCTAACAAGGATCAACACCTCCTTGGCTAGAAAATCATTGACCTATGACTTCTTATTGACTAACCTGGTCACCCTCTCCTGCAAACGTTTACTCAAGGTTACCTCCTTAACGTCCTTAATGGCCGTCCTCCACTCCAAAGTGAAAGGCCATCCACCGTTAGTAGTGGAGAAGAAATACTTCCTCTTTTGTGTCAACTCTTTGGAAGGAAAGCTACCCAACAACTTGTAACCAGGGCGATAAAACTAATAGAAACTTAACTTCTCATCGGTGTTCTTCTTTAGGTGACAGAGGCCGGCGAAGTTCTTGAGGGTTAAGGGGAAGCTATGGTGACAAAAGGAGATGGTGCCAACTAGGGTCCTAATGGAGTTCAGATGAAGCTGAACTAGGGAGATGTCGTAATATTTTAAGACATCAATGATGAAAGGGTGAAGTGGGAACCTAAGCCCAGCCTCTAGTTCCTGTTTGAAGACATAGACCTCCTCCTTCTCATGGTCCCAAGGAAGCTGGTCACCCCTGGGAAGGATATACCCATATGCCTGACGCCCTGAGGAATCATGAACTAGGCTACAAGGTCTAGAATGACATCAACTGACAACATTGTTAGGCTGAACCGTAACTTGGTCTTCCTCCAAGAGGTCGAGGCCTCTTTATGGGAACCTTGTTGTACCTATGCTTAGGACCCTCCTCGGCATGAATGACCCTCTGCCCCTCTTCCTTGGGCTCACTACCCAACATAGCTTGAATAAGGAAAAGAAAGGACTAATCATGTCGACATACCTTGTAGCCCTTGGAATCAATGACAAAAGGGCTACAAGACCAACCTCGTCGACCTCACCAAGAACACTGATCATGTTGAGCTTTCCAACCTCATGGCTCTCCAACCTCACTCCAATCATAGTAGACAAGTGTAAATGGACCCCCCATGGGTCCCTATTATAGATGGTGAATGCTGCCTACCAACGGTCCAGATCGATTTGATTCAATGGCTCCAAGGGGCATGACGGTTCAAATTCCAAGGCCCGAAAATCAATTTAGCACATTTTTACGTCTTGTAGTGCATAAATCCCGCATTGAGTCCATGCGTGCCCAAGATGCAACTTGTTAGATGATTTGACCTGGTCTGAATCCGCGATTTAGTGAAGAATTTGACATCGGAGCATCGAGCCAATTTGTCCTCAACCAAGCTACTCCCTTTGCTCGAGCTAGACACCTCAAGCTCGAGAGTGGAGGCAATTGATGAGGGGTGATTTTGCCCCCTAGTTACACTATGCCACGTTGTTGGTCTAATTACTTTATGACACCTCGATGCCACGTGTGGTCGGACCTCATCCAACTAGGTCAGCCTAAGCCACCCTCTACAAATCGGACCTCAACCAATGGGAGACCTACGGGCTGTTTGTCAACAGACTGAAGTACGCCACCTCAAAGGCATGAGTCGATAACTTCGACAACTAACCCGTCTCCCCTAACCCGGTCAACTAACGACCTGCATGGCTAGCCAACCTCTGGGGTACCTACGTGGTGTGTTCAATCTCATCCACTCACCCCACTTATCGGTTTCAAAGCACACGGTGACATATCACCCACCTGGTGGTGATGAGCCCAATTCCATCTGCTTTGCAAGGAGCCGGATGAGGATTATCACAATGCTGATAAGACGTGGCCCGAAGATAACGTACTTTAAGGCTTATTGTTCCCATATATCTCAGACACACTACCCAAGCCCTGGTGCCTATATAAAGGGACCTCCACACCTTCACAAGGTACTCTCTCTTTATTTTACGGATAAGACCGTCGACCTCAGCACACTCGCATCCAAATTGTGAGGTTGGGAACTAGAGCATGATTGGGCACCAAAACAATTCATCCTTTACCAAGTCAAGTGGCTAGCTGTTTAGTTAGGCTGAATTCAATGGCTTGATCGGTCAGGTTTGCTCCTTATAGGTTTAACCATCTGGTTGGTCGGTTCAACCCCATTTTTGTGCATGTTTGGTTTAATTGTTAAACCACACCACAACATTATATTTTAATCTAAAGAAAACAGTAAATAAAGTAAAAGAGTATTATTGTGAACTAATACTCACTATTGCGTCCCAAGATGTGGTCCCTCTTAATTATTAAATCCTTGAGATCCTTTATTGGGAAATTATCAACCATCGAAAAGGAAATATTGATAATCTGATTGTATTCATCTTTTGGTTATGAGATCTTTTACCTAGGACCCATTAGATGCCAAGTTCCAGAACTACGGGTTGCTGCCACGTGGAGTACAAAAATGAGTTATTTGGATTGTACGAGTCCTATGATGGGCTTTGATTAGTTTGATGCCATGCTTCATCGTCTACCATATTATTGTATCTGGATCTAAATTGATGAATTATATTACTTGTTCGACACTTCCATCCATGGGCTCCACTATTTTTTTGGGTAATCAATTGGATCCACTATTTCAGTCATGCCCTTTTGGAGCTACATCATGATTATTGCAGCCTGATTAACGTACCCAAAAGGCCAAAAGCAAAATTAAAATTAAAATCTCCAGTAAATAAATACGTTTCAATCCCTACTAGTTCATCGGTATGTATCAACAGAATATATTCAATCATGGGCTCGGTCTGATCATCGGGTTTAGGTCTTGAGTTCAAGCCTGATTCTCATAAAGCCCGAAGCTTAGTCTCACTTAGAAATTTGAATTTTTATTTTTACTTTTTTTATTTAGTAAAAAAGTATTTTATTTATATTAAAAATCTTCAAAACTCAAAAATAATAAACATATCAATCTTACTTGAAAAAAAAAGAAAAAAAACAAAGAAAAAATATTATATATATTTTTTATTAAATAAAATATTTTTATTATTTAATATATAGTATCAAGTCAAATTCAGGATCGGGCCGAGCTTTTTTTGAAAAAAACCTGAAGCCGGCCTGAAAAAAATCGGCCCCTATACTTTAGGCCCGTGGCTGAACCCGCCTAAATTATGACGAAGACCGATTTATAACGGGGCGGACCAACTCATCGGGCTACCCGGCCATGAACAGGTCCGGACTCGCAAAATCGTTGGAGCCTGATTAAACAACCCCACGTGATCCACTGTTTTTTGGTAACTCCTTTTCGATTATCAAGCAATGGTTATGATATCATCACTCATCAGTCATCAGGGGCCTACCATTAACAAAATTATTACGAGGACACATAGGTAATTGTAAAGTCAACTAAGGGCATTTCTAAAAATTAAGCTTTTTTTCACGGCTTTAAAGTTTCCTGGGACTGGAACGGGGCCCCTTTTCAGTCTTTCCTTGCGCTTCCACTCAACCGATTATTTTCTTCTGCGCTTTCCTCCTTCTACACGGCATATCCTTTCTCTCATCTCAATTCTCAAAAACCCTAAAATCTCAGAGGGAAAGAGAGGCAGAGATTCGCTGTTCCAATTTCGTAGAAATAACTCTTTTCTGCCGCCAAAATCGAAAGAAAATTTGGCGGGAGGCGGGAGAATTCAAACGTTTCAACGGTCGGCTCTGCAAATCTTTCAGCAATGCAACAGTTGGAGACGGGGACAAGCTCGGAGATAGTCCGAGATGGCTTTAGATCTGTGAGTAGTTGTTATTGCGTTTTTTAATCCATTGAGTGTAAGCCGTCCTTTTTCCTCTAATTTGAAGTACGAATTGAAGCTGATTTGCAGGTAAATCTGTGTGCTATTGTGGTTGGAGACTTGGAGTCAACAGTTTGGAGAATTAAGCTCCGTATTTTGGTTAAGGTGGTTTTCATTTCTGCTTCTGGATTAGGATTATCCAGTCTGTAAGATGCAGTAGAAAAGAAGACTTTGGTTTGGTGATTCACGCGAGTTTTGCTAGATTTTCACTGCTTTGGTTCTGGGTTGGGTTTTGTAGGTTGACCAGTTGAGTTGAGTTTATTGACTTCTTCTTTGAATTGGATTGATTGGGGAACTTTTTTAATGTTCCTTTAGGAGTGGCTTTGGAGTAATATCAATTACTATGGAGGATCCAGGGGCTTTGGATGGTGTTGGGAATGGGGGGATTGTCTTATTAAATGACAAGTCAAGGCATCCGAGTATTAAGGAGAGCGGGAATATTGGTGATGAGATCGTTTCTAATTTTGATTCTTATTTTGATGAAATGGCCGACTGTTTGACTATCTCTAGTATGGTGTGTGACACTGTCATCAAAGGTATGGCTAACGATATCATGGAAGAGGTTTTTGAGAAAATTGCTCTGAAAGTAAAGGAGATGGAGTCGTTGAACAAAAAATTGCAATTCTGTGAATCAGGTGTGGACGAAATTGATGGACTGAGGCTCTCAAGAATGGGGAATGCTCCTAGTAGGAGAAAGCTTGTTCAATATTCAAGCTTTCCATGCATTGCAGCAAGTGATGGTATGGAGAACCATCTGGATAAGTTAAGAATAGTGGCAGAAGAGCAGTTTCAGAGGTTGACAACAGAAATAGAAAATGTAAAGGAGAGCAAATGGGTGAAGGTGGATAAAAGCCTCAAGATGTTGAAGAACACATTAAAAACTGTTTTCGAACAGGTTGATGATATAATTTACTTGTCTAAGGCATCACTTCATGACTGGCAGCAGGAGCGTGAGTTTCAAGAAGAAATTGAAGTAATGGTAATTCAGAATTCAGTTAGGAGTTTGCAGGAGGAATCTGAAGCAAAGTTGTGGCTACAAAATGCTCAAGTTTGTGATAGACAAAACATAAACCAATTGACAAAGATCAGTGAGATTTCAAGTTTACGTCAAGAACTAGATGCCATTGCTAAAATGTTTTCTGGGCCTGAAGTGGGGCAACTATCCTCTCATGAGTTCCTTCACAAGGGATTGACTAACTACATCAGATTGCCTGCTTCCCTTCAAGAGGAAAGTCTTAAACATGAGGAGCCCAAAAGAACAATGCCTTGCACTATGGATTCAGAGAAGTTAAAGCTCATGTCAAAGGATGATCTGATAAATGAAATGATCAAGATGAAGAGAGATCATGAATCTAGATTGCAGGAAGAAATAGAGAAGTATTACAAACTCAGGCGGGAATTTCTCAATGAAAGGGATTCTTCTTCACACTTGAAAAAAGATAAGGAGTTTGATGCCTTGAGGAAAAAGATCTCAGAGATCATTTTGAAGTTGGATATTATCTTCAAGGAGACTAAAGAACAACCTATGGTGTGTGAAGATTTAAAAAATTTACAGGTCTTGAAAGACAGACTAGACTCACTTCTTTTTGAGAACCATCAACTAAAAGACTTTCTTAGAAATGAGAGGAAGCAAGTTAAATGCTTATCATCACAGGTTTCCGGTGCTGCAGATAAAATTTCATGCCATTCATTGACAAAGGAAAAGTTGTTAATGCATATAAAAAAGCTTGAATGTAATATTGAAGATTTGGAAATGAGAGTTTTTGTTAAGGAGGATGTAAATAAATGCATTCTCAAGGAGTTGTTTAGGAAAATCAGATGTGACATTGAAGATACTGATATAATGACTAAGTTCACACAAGAAATATGTGGACTTATATTCAAAGAATCTTTTAAAGATGCTGAGGCTGCAACTGAATGGAGCATTGAAGATTCAGATATGGAGCATATTTTCATGCAAGAAATATGTGAAATTATTTTCAGAGAAGCTGTTAAGGATGCTGAAGCTACAATTAATTCCATGAAGATGAGATCCCTCCAGGAAAATGAAAGAGTAATATCCCTTGAAGCAACAGTACTAGGTATTAAAAAGGCCCTAACTTTAAATCTTGAAGAAAAGGAACAAATGAAGAAAGAGATACTATCATTGTCAGCTTTGGTGACAGATAAGGAGAAACTGGCAACAAAGACAGAGTCTACATTGATGGAGGTGCAGGGGCAATATGACCAAGTCTTTCAAGAGCTCAATAGACTAAGAGATGAAGTGAGTCACAAAGAGAGATTGATTTCCAACAGCAACATAGAATCAAATACAATGAAGAAGAAATTAAAGGAGGCTTTGGAGCAACTGGATTTATATAGGGAAGAAATTGAAAAGCTAGATCAAAACCTTAAGCTAGAAATAAAAAAACTAGGTGCAGCAGATGAAGAGAGAAGTATTCTTCATGCCACTATTAAAGAGAACCAAGATGTTATAGCAATGGTTAAAACAAAAGAAAGAGAGCACAAGAAGCAAATGGAATACATAATCATGTCTATTGAAGCAATATCAAGATCTATTGCTGATTTTGAACGCGAAGTAGCAGAGGCTGTCAAAAGGAATAACCTAAGGTACTTTCCCATTAACTTATATTAAATATTATTTCCAACTTTCCATTTATATATCTACCTTGAGAAGATTTAAAATAAAATRTTTTTTTGATAATTATTTGAAAACAAAATATTTTTTGCATGATTTTTGAGAAGATGCATTCTTGGTTTAAAGTTTGTGCTTATCTTACCTACATCGAATCTCCTAGGTCAATGGTTGTCTAGATCAGATAGTTCTATACACATTCCTATTCACATACTTGTACATTTGTCCTATACCACCATTTATACTTTAGAGACTGCCAAAGAACTCAAAAGAGATAGTGGCTGGGATAACTTGATGAGCTTATTTTTGGGCTCTGGAATCTATTGCGTAGTGTTCTCTATCTGGATTTTCCAATCCTGAGTCAAATGTGCAGGCCTGGTAGGTTCAATGGTAGTGGCACTTGTATTTGCTCAAGAAATATGAAGTAAAACATGCTCGGTAACAAAATTCTGTTTATCTTCAATATTGAGTTTGACCAACCTCTATTCACATGCAATCTTGTCAAGCATCAAAATGACTCACCTAGGTAACCCTATTTTGATTGATGGATCTCCATTTTTTGTTACTTTATGTACATTTCTTCGTTATTTTCTACTTATTTGGTTTTCCAAGCTTATCTACCTCTTGCAGTAGCACTTTTATACCATCCAATGCAGTGACTAGTGAATTTTCATTTCCTCTGAATTTAAGTTCCATATATACACATTTAGATTGAATTTACTTGATCAAAGTTAAAAAATGCAATATGTTGGTTTGCCCTTCAGGTTGGATGATCTCAACTCACAATGCAGACCACTTGTCCAAGGAGCTAATTCACTTAGGAGAATAGGATTGATGTACGAACAAAGACTTGAGAGGAGATGTTCTGACCTACAAATGGCTGAGGCTGAGGTATATAAATTACCATGTTGCCTCTTTCTTGCTATCATTGATCAATATTTAACAACTCCTTGCATTCAAAGAGATGTATTACATTTTTTAAATGTATACTTACTAGGCATCTAATTCACATTACCAAGGTCTTCTCCAGGCTGAAAGATGGGCTCATAAGTGCAGGCCCAAGTAGAAAATTTAAAAGAGTGTATACTGTATAGAAGGAAAAAATTGAAAGACAAAACTTGCTTGATCAGAGACACTATTGTTGAGAATCTATCGAGCTGTTTTCCAGTTGGTGACATAAAGGAGATAAATTAACAGACTTCACTGAAGAGGTTTTGGCAAAAGAAGGGGTGTTGCCGGGGGAAGAGGTTGGTTCAGAAGAAGTTGATGAAGACGAAGAGAAAGGAGTGGAGTTGGATAGAGTTTGAAAAATTGAGTAAATGGTGGATGTGGAAAAGGTGGTGGAAACTGGTCTCCAAGTTGGTAAGAAGTTGGGCTTATTGGGTTTAGGAGGGGAGGAATACAATAGAAGAGCATTTTGGGAGTTAGGGCTACAGTACCTGCTGAATGCTGAAAGCCCTTTCTCTGAAGTCTGATTAGTGACAGTTTTGAGTTTTCTCTGTTTAGGGAGAATTTCTGTTGGTGGGCATCTTTGTATTGGTTAATGAGGTTTATGCTTTGGAAGCAAGTTTGTGGGTTAATATTCTGAGGTTAAAGTCAAAGTTTCTTTTCTCTTGTTTGGGTTTGGGAATTGGGTACTCTCTTGGGTGCTTTGTCATTCTTAGTGGGTGATATCTTATCACCTATTATTATACTTTTTTCTTTTCTTAATAAAATTCCTTTTTTATTTATTACCAAAATAAGTGGTTTCTTGGAAAACCAATTGGTGCAGCATTAGTGGGCCTTTAACCATATGGCTTTAGGTCCATGCTCACTTAGCTCTATTAATGCCTTTGTGTCCATATTCCATAACTATTGTAAATTCTCTGTGGTACAAGCTTAACATTCCTGGCCTGTGATCCACAACCTAGTTTGTTATTGCTACGAGCCTATATGGATGCCCAGCCCATGGCACATATCAAGTATGGCCCATATGAAGCCCATTCCAACAAGATCATGGTAGAAGAAACTAGAAGAAGAATATTCCCAGAAGATGCTGAAGAGATAATATCAATAGAAAACATTCTATGTGCATGGTGTTTTTGTAAGTTTGTTTTCTTGCTTTTCAAGATAGCATAACTTTTTATAAAAGGTGTTCTTACCCCTTTATCTTCTTTTCTGAATTATTTATTTTGAGTTTTGAGCTCTGCAACTTTGTAATAGTTAAGAAGTGAGTCCTCCAAGTATGGTGATTCAGTGTTGACCTTAGAAGTGGGGGACCATGAGGAGGCTGATGCTATTTCACCTCAGGAACACATTCTCGCTTCTGTTGAGACAGCACCAGGTGTTTCAAGGAAGGTTTCCATAGAAGTGAAGGATGGGTTAGGGGAGGGGGAAAAGTTGTGGAAAGGAGTGGCAATTGCTGAAGTGGGGGGAGATTTTGGAAAGGGTGGAATGGGAAACTTGGATGATGCTGCGGGTTGCAGAGATTCTATCCAAGATGAAAGAAAGGTCTAGAAGAGGTCGACAAGAGTTCCTATCAAGAAAATTGTGGAGAGAGAAGTTGAGATCAGTAAAAGTATTAGCTTGTTTTTTTTTTTTGGGGGGGGGAGAGGAGTTTGCTAAGAAGGCCTTTGAGGAGTTTGAGGGAAAGGGGATGGATGAGAGGTTGAAGAAAATGGAAGTTAGAGAAAGAGGTGATATGTGGGATGCAAATGACAGGCAGGAGGAATGTTTTGAGGAAGAGAATTAGGAAAGTTGGGCCCTTGGGTTCTGTTTAGGATCAATTGAATTGGAGTTGGGTGAAGGTGGTCAATTTGGAGTTTTTCTCTTTGTATTGGATGTTCATGTAATTTGGCATATTTGGGAGTGAGTTGCTTTAGTATTTGTCTTTTCTCTCGGGTGATTTCTTGTCACCTTTCCTTTTGTATTCTCTATTTATTTTAATGAATTTTTCTTTACCCTTAAAAAAAGGATTAAAGTTTCACAACATATCGGGGCGTATAGGCCAATACGTATCATATTGTTGACCCCTGAACCAGTTTGATGAGAATATTTTGAATGCAACTGTTGTGGCAGCCTCTAAGAAACCTCAGGGTTTCAAGAAATATTCAAATTGTTCACATCATGAAAGTCTTCTCTCGTCTGAAGCTTGGTCTGGTGGGGGTGGGGCCTACAAAAAATATTTAAAAAAAGTTTATAGGAGGGAAGGTGTGAAGAAATCTACACCGATTACTAATGAGGTTATTGGGGAAGATTCTCGGTTTCACATCAGTTTGGGTTCTCAGTTGGAGAATGTACAACAACAAATAGAGAAAGGTGCAAAAGGCCTTGAGTCTACCGAAGATGTGATGGTTTCAAGTGTAGTAAAAAAGTGGAAAGGTTAAGTTTGTTGTTGAGAAAATTGTTGAAAGAGATGTAACGGTTGGAAAGAGACTTGGCCTGTTTTTCGAGGGGTGTGGGTGGGTGAGGGGTTCACTAGAAGAGACTTTCAGGAGTTTGAGGGATGTTGTTGGGGTAGTGGTTTAAAAGGTGTGCCTAGGCACATAGGTGAGGAACATTTTAGGGTATGCACCTCACTTAGGTCCTAGGCGTAGCACTTCTAGAAGGTGCACACTTGGTGTGCCTAGACGTGCACCTAGTGTGTGCCTTGCGCTTCGGCCCAAGCGCGTGCCTTTTGAAAATTTGTGCATTTTTTTCTGTTTTTTTATGCTTATTAGCTAGGGTCAGGGACTATGCCCCCAGACCTTGACCAAGCCCAAAAACCCCATATTTTCTATTGTTGCTCATTCATCCATCCTAATAAAAGATAATTAAAGTTATAAAAACATTTATACGGATTAAGAAAGAAGGGGTGGTCCGGGCGGAGCCCCTGTTTCAGACACCAAAGATGAGAACAAAAAAAGCTGAAAAAATGCAAGAAATTAAGAACAAAAGAAGGGGGCGGAGCCCCTGTTCCAGAACCAGAAAAGCTGGTGAAAAGATACTAAAAATAAAAGAAGAATATGAAGAATAAAAGAAGGGGCTGAGCCCCTATCGACATCAACAACATATATACTAAGTAATATCAGGTATTTCCTGATCCAATTTCTTAATAGTGTGTAAATTAAATGCTTAACTAACTAATAAAATGATTAACTAATTATATAATTTATTTAACTTGCTAAACTTAATTAACTTAATTAGGAATATATTATATGCTAGTATTTTAAAAATTATAATTTAATATTATTAAAAAGTTGCAAATAATAAATTATTTAGTATTAGTAAATTAGATATTATTAGTCAAATTTCTTAACTGTTTTACTTAACTTGCTAAACTTAATTAACTTAATTAGATATATGTAAAAATATTAATAAATAGAGAAAATAAGTTAGTTAAATAAAATAGGGAAAATACTTGAATTGTGAGAGGCTTACTGGAATTTATAATTGAAGAAAACTAGCATGGTTTTTAAAGAAAATTAATACAGAAGTATCTAACAATAATAAAATTAGAAATTAAGATAAATAACTAAAGAAAAATATAATGCATATTTATTGGTTTGAAAATTTGTTTTCATTAATTTAAATCCCATTTACAAGTTGGTAAAGTTAAATATTAATGAAATAACAGCTGGATTGAACTCAGACTGTCTTTAGCTTACTTGGAAATGTTATAATCTTATTCTTCTTCTTCAATGTCTCCTCACAAAGCCCGTGCATCATACGGGTTCCAACTTGTACAAAAAATTACAGTAAATAGGGAAAGTTTGTAGGCAATTTGGGCATATCTCTTATATTATATATTCATCATATTAAACAAAAGCAAGTGCGATAAATTAGTCTTTTAAAAAATGACCCAAAAATGGAATTGCTTTTCTGTTCAGGTGGTGGGTCAGTGGTTCAACCGTCTAGGCCAAACAGGTTAGCTCGTGTATAAATAAAATAAAAATATAACAAATAGATTAAAATACAGAAAAATGTAAAAAATGTGCATAAAAATTCAGCATGTGTCTAATATTATATATTCATCATATTAAATAAAAATAGTTGTGATAAATGATAATTATTGGCTACTAAAAAAGAATAAATACATAACCTGTGATCCGCTGATTGGGTCAAACAGTTCATAAGTTCAACTAGTCAGGTCACTGGGTTGTCAACTTTTTGCAACCAAATGGTTTGGGGTGAAACAGACCTGGAAATTTGGTCAGGTGGCAGGTCAAATGGTTTGACCATGGGCTAAGAACACTCTGAGAAATACGAATTATTTTTGTTGGTGAGAATGCCTAAAAATATAAAAAGCAGAAAAAAGAGAATTAATATTTGACCTGTGACTGGTGACCCACTGACCAGGTCAAATGGTTAAGTGGTTCAACCAGCCAGGTCATTAGGTCATTGATTAAGTCAATGGTTTTCTGCAGGGAAGTGATTTGGTGGTGAGTTTCTGGCTGGGTTATGGGTTGACTGGTCCAACTGACCTGGTTTGACTGTGGGTTGAAAACACTATTTCCTTTGTATTGGGACATAAATTCCCACTGTTTTCCCTTTTGCAGCCAAACAATGGAACATGAAATTTTTTCACCCAATTTTCCTTTCCTATCCCACTCAAATCTTTCTGCAAACCAAACACAGCCTAAAGAAAACCATGATATGTGACTGTTCAATGGTGTTGGAAATATTACTGGAACTTTTTGTTTGTAACTGTCTTCATTGGGGGATTACATGTCCTTTTTATGATTGACCTCAACTCTTCCCCTAACAACCCTTGGTTTCATTTTCCCGCAAAAGTAATTGATATGAATGTTCACAATTTTATAACCTGTTTCTATCCTTTCTGAGAGATTTTTATTCAACTTTTGAATCTAACTGTCCTGCAAGTAGCCTTAGACATTTCATTTGTTTTAATTGTTTCAACAAATAGACTTAAAGGAAAAATGATGTTTATGCTTAATACTATTAAAGAGAATACCAATGTTTAGTGTGGTTTAGATCCACAACATAAATATTCAGAGTTTAGTTTTTGTATGTATATAAAGATAATACTCATGCCTCGTGTACATAACTACATATTTGCAACTGCTTGTGCACTGGAGTATGGTTTAACATTTTCTAACTAGTGTAATCTCTTTGGTGCTCAGGTTGATTTATTAGGAGATCAGGTGGATGCACTTCTAAGCCTTCTTGAAAAGATATACATAGCACTTGATCATTATGCACCGGTACTGCAGCACTATACTGGGGTAAGATGATTGTTTTTTCCTCCAACACTATTCTAGCAGTCCTTTTGTCCATTATCTCTGTCTGCCATTCTCCTTATTGAGTCATTTTTATTATTAAGTGGATTATGGTATGGCCTCCTGTTTTCCTCTATTTCCATTTTACCTACTTGTGTTCTACACGTAACAAACATCCAAGGAAGTTGAAACAACCACCTGTATATCCACTAGGAATAGAAAAATCCATTTTTAGAAATTTCAAGGAAGTAATAAGGGAAATGAGTGGGTCAATTATTGGGTGACACTCTTTTCCAAAAAATCCTTCATTTTTTCTCTTTTCTTCCTCTTCCTTCATTGTTTAGATTTCAAGTTTATATTAGAATAAGGAAAAAAGTCACTAGAAATATAGGGGAAGGTCAAGGTTGTTAGAAGCCAATGCCATCATATACAACTAATGTCAGCTGCCTGTAAGGACAATTATGAACCCCCAAAACTGTTGTTCTTCTTCTTGAGCAACTTGGTAATGACCTCTAAAAGCTAGATTTTTGAGATTGGCGTCCTACACAAGTTTTGAATTTCCATTTGACCTTGGTACCCTTGTTTCTACATCTGGACTTTCCGAAGTGTTAGTTTGTCTATTCTGTGTCTACTCTGAGTAGTGCTGATATTTTTTGATGAATATCTGAGTAGTGTTGACTCTTCAAATGATTTTTTCCATTATCATGGGAAGTAGCAATGACAGGTCTACTCTTCTTATTACCATTGACTGACTTGACGGAAGTAAGTTTTTGGAATGGTCCTGGTCTATGAAGATCTATGTGGGAGGCAAAGGGAAGTTGGGGTACCTTATAGGGAAGATTGTTAGACTAGGAAAGGGTCAGAGGCTGATAAGTGGGACAAGGAAAATCTTATTGTTGCATGGTTGCTTATTTGTTTTGGGAGACTAACTAAAATCCTTTTTTTTGAATAAGGTAAAATCTGGAACCATATTGAAATTTGTTTACAGGCGTTTCATAAGGAATTTCAGCACTATTATGGCACTTATAGAAACTATGAAAAAGGGGGAATTTGTTTGGTCTAAGGCTGCTACTAAAGCCTTTGAGACTATCAAGCAAAGGATGATTAAGATCCAGTGTTAGAATTGCCCAACTTTTCAAAAATCTTTGAGGTGTTTTGTGATGCTTCCCGAGTTGGAATAGGTGGTGTGCTTATGCAAGGACATCCTATAGCTTTTCACAGTGAAAAGTTTAATGAAGACAAAAGTACTCCACATGAGACAAGGAATTCTATGCCGTTGTGCAATGTCTTCGACATTGGTGTCATTATTTAATTTCTTAAGAGTTTGTTCTGTATGCAAATCATGAGGCACTCAAATCTTAGAAGAATCTTAGTAGTCAACATCAGAAATGGGCTGAATTTTTAGCAGAATATAACTTTGTGATTAAGCATACGAGTGGTGCTAAGAACCGAATAACCGATGCATTGAGCTGAGTGGTGTACCTACTCCATTTTATGTCTGCGGACTCTACACAGGTTGTGGGGTTCGATCAGTTGAAGCAAGATTATGTTGGTTGCAAGGATTTCAGCATTATTTATGGTTCTTTACATGCTGGCCAGCAATCTGAATATCCTGGCTTTTCTATCCATGGTGGTTATTGGTTTAAGGGAACTTGCTTGTGTCTTCCTAACACTTCATTACATGATTATGTTATATGGGAGTTACATGCAGGTGGAATTGCTGGGCATTTTGGTTGAGACAAGACCATTGCTATGGTAGAAGATTGCTTTTATTGGCCTAGCCTTAAGGCTGATGTTGATTATGTGATCAAACAGTGCAGAATTTGTCAATTGGAAAAAAGGGAGAAAGAAAAATATGGGGTTGTACTCCCCTTTACCAATTCCACATGAGCCTTGGCAAGTCCTCTCTAGTCTCTATGGATTTTGTCCTAGGTTTGCCCAAGACAATAAGGGGTCATGATTCAATTTATGTTGTGGTAGATAGGTTCTCAAAAGCAGTTCACTTTATGATATCAGATGCCTCACATGTGGCAAACCTATTCTTCAGGGAAGTTGTTCGTTTACATGGTGTTCCTATTACTATTGTTTTTGATCATGATGCTAAGTTTACGAGTTACTTTTGGAAGACATGTTGGAAACTCTTCAATACAAAATTAAAGTTCTCATATTCTTTCCATCCTTGGACCAATGGCCAAACTGAGGTAGTTAATAGGAGCCTCAGTGATTTTCTATGTTGTTTAGTTGGTGATCATACTTCCAAGTGGGATCTCATCTTATTATGGCTGCATTTGCTTACAATAATATAGTTAACAGATCAACTGGAAGAAGTCCCTTTACTCGCCACATGAGAGAAATCCATCATGAATTTAGGTGCAAAATTGCTCTTAGCAATGATGCATACAAAGCCAAAGCTAATTTATACGAGAACCTAGCTGATTTTTAGGAGGGTGATATGGTTATGGTGTGTGTACATCCTGAATGCTTTCCTAAGGGCTTTTATAAGAAGCTTCACTCCAAGAGTGTAGGTCCCTACAAGATCACTAAGAAAATCAGTTCTAACGCCTATGTCCTAGAGTTGCCAAGAGACATTGGAATTATCCCAATCTTCAATGTTGAACACTTAAGTGCATTCATGGCCATAGTGATTATCGCACAGTCCCATTACCTAAGCTACCTTTGGTCTGGAAAGCTCATTTTTTGAGGATTTCACTGAGATCTGATGTATAATTTCTGGCTTTACATGATACACATAATCTGAGCATTGCAGTATACTTATAATACAATATATTAGCTTACCTTTTCTCAAAAAACGGGATCTTCATTTGGGTTAGAGTGATTAGCCATACAGTCCATTGGATATCCTCTTAAACTGAAGGAATAGTTATTGCATTCCCTCATTATTTGATGGTTATGTCTACTTCTATCAAGGCAGTGAATCTCCTAAGTGAGGGCAGTTTAGTAGCTGGTCCTAAACAGTGAGTAGAAAATGTATTTATCTCAAGCTATAAACTTACTTGCCTCTTTCACTATGCAATTGTGCATGGGAAAAGCCATATGGAATTATTTGTTTGGAGTTCAAAACTATCATCCAATATGTTGTGTTTTCTTGGTTTGATGTAATTTTTTTTTGGTTTAATTCATCATCATCATCCAAGCCTTATTCCATATTGATGTAGGACCAGCTCAGTTCTAGCCCTTAGAGAATGTTGAATGATCTTCTTGATCAGAGTTTAATGGCTGTAATGGCTTCTTGAAGGAATAAGAGAGAAAATTGGGAGAGAAAGAAGAGAGAAAATACCTGGAATCACTCACAAGGTGCCTAGAATCACTCTAGGGCATGGGAATCACTCACMATAGCTARCATAAGYTGAAGAAAACTCAATAAACTTCATTGCCTTTGTGTAAAAAGTCCATACATATTTATAGACTATATACTCATAATAATCCTAGGAGTCAAACTGTTAGACTCATTATAGTCTTAGGAGCCAAACTGTTAGACTCGATCCTAGTAGGACTCAAACTAAGCTGTCATATCCTATTTCAATTCAAAGAATACTCAATAACTCTAATCCTATTTATGCAATGACTTTGAAATTTTAAATACAAACAAACTATAACTAGGCAATCAAAGCCTATTATTGGACCCTACAGAAAAATTATAAAATGGTAAAAATACCCTTGGTGTTCAATTCAATCCAAATCCCAAGTACCATCACTATGCCATATCAGGACCTTTGTAAGGCCTTCTTCTTTCTAGAATAAGTCTTCAAGGGTGCTGGTCGATTCCTATCATCTCTCCCCGTCTTGAAAGAACTCGACCCCGATGAGTTAAAAGCATGGTACCTTTCATAAAGATCTGGGTTAAGACTATGAAATTCTTCAGTACTCAGTATTGATCCAAGAACTCTTAGACATAGGCATACCTTTCCACTTGACAAGGAATTTTTGATACCCTTCTGTAACAGTAAATATTATTTCCTCATCCTAAACATCCTCTAGAATGTCATTTGGAGCTGCAATAATTGGCAATTTAGGTATAGGAGTCTTAAAAGAATCCACATGTTCGTGGTAAGGTGTCAAGTTCTCAACATTGAAGATAGGACTAATTCCCATGTCATTTGGCAACTCTAAAACATATATTAGAACTTATCTTCTTGATGATTTTGTAAGGATTGCCACTCTTTGAGTGGAGCTTCTTATACACCTTTAGGAAGACACTTCGGTCGTATACGTACCATAACCATGTCTCCCTCTTGATGATTTGCCAACTGTCGATGAATATTAGCTCTAGCCTTGTACAAATCATTACTCAATGTAATTTTTCTCCTAACATCATCATGCATCTCTCTTATGTTCCTAGCAAATGCTTCTGCTTCAATGCTAGTACATGTCTCTGGTGGTAAGGTAACTAAGTCAATTGGCCGCTTAGGCTGAATTCCAGTCACCACTTCAAATGAACTTCTTCTTGTGGATCTATTTACTGAGTTGTTATAAGCAAACTCAGCTATTGAAAGCACTAGATCCCATCTAGAAGTATGATCACCAACTAGACACCATAGATCTCCCAAGATTCTATTTACTACCTCAGTCTGACCATCTGTTTGGGGGTGAAATGATGTAGAGAATTTCAGTTGAGTATTGAGTGGTTTCCAAAGTGTCTTCCAAAAATAACTCATAACCTTGGTGTGCCGATCTGATACAATAGTAGAAGGTACTCCATGAAGTTGAATCACTTTGAAAAATATAGTAGCAATATGTGAAGCATCATGTGTTTTGTTGTAAGGTAAGAAATGAGCCATCTTGGAGAAATGATCCACCACAACATAGATTGTATCGTGACCCCTAACAGTCTTGGGCAATCCAAGGACAAAATCCATGGATAGATCTTGCCATGGTTCATGAGGAATAGGTAGGGGTGTATATATAGCCCAGTGTTCTGCTTTTGTCCTCTGGCAAGTTGGCATGTCCTGCATTGCTTTATTATACGAGCAACACCATTTTTCAAA